ACGTTTTTAATTGGGTGGAAAGGGGAAAAGAGGGTTAAAAAGGTTTTTGGGTTGAAATAGTATAAAAAGATTTGTTGGGGCTAATTTCCATGGTCAAAAGCCAATAAAAAAAGAAGATAAAAGATGAGGGGGTACGGTGAAATCCATGAGGGTTTCTTTATATCGCTTGAAAGAAAAACGGAAGGAAGGTCTATCATGAAATAATATGAAAAATTAAGGTTCTATACGAAATTTTCTCTTTACAAAATTCTAGCTTCTTTTGGGGTAAGTTAAAATTCTATCTTAATCATCGTTCTACAATACGTATGGCTCTAGAACACAATATCTTTTATTACTTCGTACTCAAAATTTTGCCTTCCAAATTTCGGGTATGGAATTTCCAATTTTCATTTTAGCTTTTAGTTGCCAAATCTCGGTAGACAGAACGTTCATCATGCTATAGGCTGAGGAAATTTGTATCGAGAGGGTCTTTCTGGTTGAGCATGACAATATGTTATGTTAACTATTTATCAAAAGGGATTGTATATTATGAAATGTTTATTTCGTTAAAAGGAGTCGTTTAAAAAATGGATCGGTGACATGGATTGAGCATCTTAAAAATTGATTCGGATCGGTGAATAGGCGATCCGAATCGAAATGTTGTTTTTTAGGAATCCAATAAGAAATGAGGATACTACATTATTAACTTTCATTGTTTTCATCAATTTATGAATATTGAGATGTTCTTTCCCTGTATGAACTTATGTTGACCATTAAATTTACAGCACAAAAAAGAAATCATAGAATTATCATGGATTAAATATATAATTATATATGGATTACAATAAAGGGTTGACTAAATCGATGAAAAATTGGGCACTAAAATCTCGAATTGGCGGAAAACCCTAATCCGCTAAAAAAAACCCAAATTATTACAACCTAACTAACTATAATATTATATACCAACAATATTTTATAATTATTTTATTATATAAATAATAACAAATCCAAAATATTTATAATATCATCTAATTTAAAATGTA